TCTGCCTACAAGGGCCCCTGACCCTATAGGGCCTCTGATGGAAACATGGAGGGAGGGCGTTTGGCTGCCAAGGGCCCTTGAATTGTGGTGGTGGTGGGGGGGGGGGGCCCTCGTGAACTTTTTGCCCAGGGGCCCACACAACCCATAATCCGTCCCTGCCATACTCTAACTAGATGCCGCTAACCCCTCCTCATAAGACATTCCTCTAAGATCAGGAATCATTCTTGTAGCTCTACGCTGAACCCTTTCTAAGGCAGCAATGCCCTTTTTAAGGTAACGTGACCAAACAATTCTCCTAAGTTAGCTCTCTAATCTTAAGTCTCGCACGATTCAGATCCTGACTTCCAGTCAGCTAGCTAATGTGGATAAAAAGGTTCGTTTGTGTGTCACCGCAGGCCGGGAGTCGCGCCAAACAGGCCGAAAGCTGTTGCCACGTGGTAGGGGGGGTGCCCACTGAGTCTGGCTCACCTCATACCCTCTTAAACACTGTCACTCGTAGACCCTGCTCTTGGTGTGTTCTGTTTTCTCTCCTATTGGCATAGTATCTTGTAATTCTGCATAGCCGCGCACAGATTACGGAAGCACAGAGTTACTCGTTTGGACACAGTCAAGTATTACATAGCTTAAAATATAGGAGGATTACAGTCATCTATTTAACCTGCTATTAGAAACTCGATAACACCCGGTTCTTTGTTTAGGGCCCAGGGCTTCTTGCTCTGCTCGTAGCAGCCATCCTCTTTGGTTCTGTACCTTTAATCATCAGGTGGTTCAGTTAGGGCCGCAGACGTCTCATCTTCGCAGCAAATGGACCGTGAGCGTTCCGGTGACCGCCTTCAGGGCCGATACCAAGAGGAGCGGGACTGATGTCGCCTTTCATTATCGTGTCACCCAGCCACACGTGGTGGATGCGGCGTCCCGGGGCTGCCACTGAAGATGTAGCGATTACAGCAATTGGCAGACATTAAACACTATATCAGGACGCCTCTTGGCCAGCAATCCATGTAATGAAGGTTGTTTTTATTACCACGCGCACCTGCAGTGAACATGCCCTTGAATCCTTAGTTTTTTTCCCCCTGGATGGCACTTTCAGCAGCTTATAGCTTTTTGCTGTGTGACTGTCAGTGCTACTGTATCAGTGTTAGTGCTATTGTCAGTGTTAGTGTGGCTGTATCAGTGTTACAGTGTTAGTGTTACTTCTCAGTGTTAATGTGTGCAGGTAGATAGGCCTCTTTCTACTGGACTGACCCCTGGAGATAGTGGTTGAAACTTCTCTACATTGGACTGAACGCTGACAGTGAGACCCCATCCCAGGTTGCCCCCAACACTGATAAACAAGAAGTCGGGGAGCTTTTCAGGTCGGCCTGGGGTGATTCATGGGACAGGAACAGATTTACTGCCGATTTCTATGGAGGAATTCACAGGCTGGAACAAACCACTAGATCCAGTACCGCTACATAATCCTGTGATGAGCCGTATAATTTATAGGGGCCAATTAAACGGTTTCAACTTACTGCTGGAGTCTGAATGATAGCATGAACTGAACGGTAGCATGGACGAGCGGCAGGCATGATACACCGTAAAAAGCTCCTGTCACGCAGACGGTGTCCTGGCACCCAGGTGACGTTTCGAGCAGCAGAAATAGCCGTACGGGCCAGTGCTTTGCTGACAAATATGGCCGCTGTGAAAATAAAACCTTGCAATATACACCAGTCCCAAGGCCATAAAAGCTGGGGAGGGGTCACTAGCAAAGGCCTCTACTCAAGGCAGACGCTTGGACCTGACTCCCATACTCAGCCAGACACGCCCCCCCCCCCCCCCCCCCCCCCGTAATTACTGGTACACATGTGCCCCCCCCTGTGGTGGGCCCGGAAATGGCACCGTTTCCCATTCGACAGGTTGTTATTAAAGTATTACCCTCTTCTCCACACGACGTAGGTCGATCCGGGCTTGTAAACTGAGCAGCGAGGAGGTATCTTAAGTGTGCGGGGGGCTAACGGATGAGGGGTCGCCCCGGAAGGGGGGGCTGTACTGCTGGTAAGTGAGCCCCCAAAAGTGTTTTCGCCGGTATGGCCGTTCCAGAGAGTTCTTTGACAAGACAGAACTGATCAGTACTGAGGGAACGGGGGGGACAGCCTTAAACGACAGGTGCATTTTTATGTATGTCAAAAAATAATATTTACTTTGAGTTTACCGATTTTATTGTATGTCGAATCTGAAAACACGACGAATCACAACAACATTTACGTGTAATTACCTTTAATTTTGCTAATTGGCTAATCAAAATAGCAGCTGACGGCAGTGACCTTGGGAGTGAGCAGGTCCCACCAAAAGTCCTCCAGGGATTTTTCTGATTCGCCCCGTCGAGCCTCCAGGGACGGTTACATGATTTATCATGTCGCCGAGTCCCCTGGAATCCTCACTTAACTGTCCTCAGCTGCCATGCACTGCGCTTGGCTGAAAGGGCTGTTTTTTGGAGGGGGGAAAAAAGAACATTTAATACCTCATCTGGATTGCATTACCGCAAATTTGTTTGTGTGCGTGAGTGTCGCGTTAAAATGTTGTTTCAACAGCTTTAGGGTGGATGCCTGAAGGTTATTAATACTGTTGATAAACTTCCCGTAAAATGGATGCTTTTCTGTGTCCTTGTTTATGATGTCAGATCCAGTTTCTCTGCTCTGGAAAGAAAGTTACGTCTGTCAGAAATGTGGGGAAACGTTTCGTCCCATTTCAAGCCACCCGTCATACTAGAGAAACCATTCAGCTTAAGGAATTTGTTTTGCCGCTCCCGCAGTTCTGCTTGTTTGTCCCCACTCTGAGCCGATTTGGCAATGGGGGGGGGGGTGTTTGAAATTCAGCAGGGGCGACTGAGAAACCCCGTTTGCACGTCCTCAATCGCCAGGGAGGCCCAAGCGACCCTGGGACACTTGAGTCACACGTTCCTCAGAGTAGGTGGGTCGCAGTGCCGGCGGTGTGTTTACTGTTTTGAGGTCTCCACGCTGTCTCCCTGACACCCCCCCCCCCTCCCTTAGGTTCTGCCGGGCCTCCACAACTAAGGAAACCAATCCCGCGTGGCGGTGTAATGGAGAGCAGCACTTTCCACTGGCCTAAGCATGACACATACTGCGCTGGTTTGTTCGCAAGTGCATGTCCGTTTCCCAAAAGTGCAAACACATCCGTATACCTGATGCGCCAGCGGGCCGCTCCGGTGGGGAGGGGGGCAGTAAGTAGGTCAGAAGTTAAATATAGGGAAGCTGTTCACCATCCGTCCATCCATTCATCCATCTATCCATCCGTCTGCTGGCCGCTTTCCAGGTCAGGGTTGTGGGTCTGTTCGCTTTCGTTGACTTTAATATGCGGTTTAATTCAGGGAGGCTGGGATGTGTAAAATACATTAATGTTTAAATCATTTTTAGTTCCAGTTATTTATCACCGAATCCCCATCAAACCAGTCACAAGAAAACACATTTTCCCCTTGTGCCTTATTTGTGCAGACATACCTCCGTTCATCGACCCTGGTTACAAGGGGAGGGTGTCTGTCTGTCTGAGGGGGTGTCATGTGTGGAGCGGAGCAGTGAGCTGATGGGGGGGGAGCAGTTCTGTGGCTCGTAAGATGCCCAAGTGGGGCAGTGGATCCATGCCGTCCGAAAAATGAGAGACTCTGCTTGTCCTTAATGGTGAACGAATAACAAACAGACAGGAAGGAGGTCCGTTAAAGAAAGTGAAGCTGTGGGCTTTACCTGTAATCCCCCCCCTCCCAACCCCCCCTCCCGGCTGGCATCGGGTGGGTTTTCCACAGCGTCACGGACGCATGGGCAAGCTGAGACTGCAGGGGGGCCGGAGGGCTGATGCTCTGAGTCACCGCAGTTTATGAAAAGGCATTTGTTTGCTGGCAGAAAACCCAGGGAAGGTTTATGAAGACGATCCAGCCCCTCAAAAGGCATTTATTAATTTTTTTTCACGCATCTTGGAGTAGAGTTTGCCCGGGCCGCGCCTAACCCAGCACAATGGCCGAGCGCTTTTCACGCTGCCGCCTTTTCAGGGGAATTTCTCTTGGGCCGTAAATGGCGCATTTGGTGAGTGAGCGACGTGTCACAGCTGCTGCTTCCCCAGGCGTTTGCAGATGCAGCGACCCCCCCCGCCCCATGACCCAATATCGGGACACATTCGAAGCAGTCACCCCGTTCCCCCTCCCCACCCCGCCATCGTCTTGCCCAGACATGGGAAATGACGGGCGTGTCCCCACCTGCCACCCGGACAGACGGACACGTCCTGACAGGCCTCTGGCAACAGGTGGAGCATCAATCACGTCCGAGGCGATCCAGCTACCATCGCCTCATCCTCGCTCTCACACTCCCCTCCGATTGCTGTGGCTTTACACTCATTACCTTAATCCCTGTGCCGCTCATAATCACACACACACACACACGCACACACACACACACACACGCATGTGCTGTGTACATAAATATATACAACATATTTTCCAGGCACACAGTTCCAGTAACAAGCACTGTAAGGCTTTAAAAAGAATTGCCCGCTTTGCGATTTTTTTAAGAGCAGCCGTTTTGCCAAACAATGGAAACATGACACCCAGCTGGCCATTGTCCCCCCCCCCTGGAAAATAACAGCTGAAGCTGCCTTAACCTGTGGGAGAAAACAGACCAGGGGACCGGAGTAAATGGGAGCGCAGGACCTGCGGGGAAGGTGGTCTGAGTGCTCATGCTTTCGTGATGTTCTACCACATGTGGTCACGGTTACGGGACGCATGCCAGCTGGGTTTGGGGGGGGGGGGGGCAGGATGCTACCAAGAAGTTGCTTGATGGTCCTATGATGGTCATGGTTGTCTCCCTTTCCCCAGATCTGCTCTGATGTGGCTGCAGGTCTCATTCCACAGACCTCATCCCCACAGAATAACTCCTTGCTCCCCAGTACAGGGCACAATTAACATATAAAGATAATATTTACAATCTGTATCTGATGTTACAAAATCATCGGCAATTGACCCATACGAGCTGTAAATTTGCTTGGGGGGGGAAAAATGCATTTCCCCCCCCCAGAGGCTATTCCTATTCCCGGCTGGAGCGTGGCAGCCATCTTTGCTCGTTGATGAGTGAGATCAGAAACTGCCCCCCCCCCCCCCCCCCCCCCCCCCCCCGTGGTTACCTTTCTTGATTTACCGACAAACGCAAACCGGTTGTTGGAATCCGACACTGTCGCTGGGGAGCTTTTTCCCGATGAGAGAAGGCCTGGTCGGAAGGCGCAGGAATGCTGGAAAGCTCAGCACTACATTGGACCGCCCACCTGCCAGTCCCGCTCACTCTCTCCCGTCACAAAGGCCCCACTCTGTGACCAAGTTTTGGCCGCATAGACGCAAACTGAATTTTACCGGCTGCAAAATAAAAAGGACAGTCATGGGGAGAAACATTAATACTCTTTGTTATGATTCTACTCGAATCTAATTAAATCGTACTTAGTGAGCAGCTAATTTATTGGGTAACGCTTTTAAATGCAACGTTGTTAACGTGTAACAATGAGGAAAACAGCAGCTCTATTTCCCAACAGCACCCCCACACACCCTTCCCCCCCAGCCCACCTGACCTCATCCCTGGAACTGTTCAGTGCCCCTCACTTCCCCCCCATCTGTTTATCCGCTTAGCACGGGTGCCGCGCTACACGCTATTCCTGTGTCGGATCTGGATTCTCCCAGGCTGCCTTGTTCTCTGTCGTCTATTAATAACGGGCAGCTCAGCAGCGCTGGCCAAGCCGCCCTCGCTGTCTCTAGCCCTGTTCTCACTCCTGGCCCTGGGGCGTGAAGCGCAGAGTGCTTCCTCGTCGCTAACGTCGCAGGTAGTCGGCGGCCATTTTGAATCCGTGGGACGTTAGAGAGGGCAAGAGGAACCCAGATGGGAGCGAGACAGGCTGATCGAGAGCTTAGCTTCCCGGGGGCTCTGTTGTATCTGGGGGAGGGGCGTTGTCATGGTCACGAAACAGCCTAGGTATTGTCCCTGTAGTCTGACCAGCAGGGGGCGACGTGACTCCCCCAAACAGGCTTCCCCAGATGCCAGCCCATTCTAATGCAGCACATTTTGGCAGTGGGGTGTGGCTGTGTCTCTGTGCACACCGGTCACCTTGAGGTACTCGTTAACGCAGCCTCCATCAGGGGCGTTTCCCGCTCTGCTGGAGCAGAGATCTCTGTCCTGGGCGCTCTTTGAGAGTATCCATTACAGAGCATGTACTGTAACTCTATTTTTACCATAGTGAACAGAACGGCTCCGAGGCGCAGTGCATCAGGAAATCCCGCCCCCTCAGAACACATGGCCAGAGGGGGTCTGAGGGCTGGTCCCTGCTTCTCTGAAGACACCTCTATTTAGATATCTGCGTTTGACTTTCCAAGTGCCTCCAGAGATTGTTTTTCCTTGTTGTCATTGCTGGTATATCTGAACCGGCGATGTGGCACAACACAAACCAAACCGGCTGTGTCTTTCCCAAAAGGAAAGTCGAGCTGAATGTTAAAGCAGTGAACAGGAAATAGAGCCAAAGCAGAAATATGCAGTTTATCATGGCGTAGGTTACTGGCCATAAGCTATTTCAAATATAATGCATAATTTATTGAAATGGTATAAGAGGAGTGAGGATGAGCGAAACCTAGTAATTAATCAATAGGCTAAAAAAGTTCAAGCAAGAACTATTTCTGAGTCAGCCTGAGTCATGCAGCTTCTCTGGCAAAAAAAAAAAAACGAAAAACACTCTTCGTTCTTAATTGGTCAACAGCTAAATCCATGCCTGCATTGCAGCACGTCCTATTGGTTTATGAGATGAAGGGTCGTGGCCAGAACCAGTGCTGTCTGCTTTTGGTTCCTCATCCAGCCTGTACTGGCCAGCACTGACCAGAGAACAGAGCCAGCAAGCTACTGCGCTAATAGTTTCAGTGGGCTCAGTTAATCGCCTATAAAAGGCTTTGTTTGGATTATGTTAAGCCCTATTAATCTCCACAGAACCACTGAACAAGACTCCCTGTGGCAATTTACCACCCCGGCGAGCAAAGAGAAAAACAGTAAAGTATTGTTGTTCTGCTTTTTGTTGGCAATACATCTGTATTGAGGAATGATGACCCGCAGATACAGGGGCGTGCAGCCTGGAAGGTGGTTTCTTGAGCTTGGAGGGGCCTGGCTGATATTAGCCACGCCCCCCCCCCCCCCCCCCCCCCCCAAGGATTTGGCCATGATTGTGAGGCTTTTAGCTGGATTTTTAGGGACCCCTGTATTATGGAAAGGGGAGCAGCCAGAAATAGGTGGTAGGAGTTGGTTGCCCGTTCCCCCCTGCCCCTGCCGCCCCCCCCCCCCGTCCCCGTCCCGCAGATGAAGCTGCCCGTACTGCTGCTGGGCCGCTCGGCGGACCTGCGGCCGGGGGAGTTCGTGGTGGCCATAGGCAGTCCCTTCTCCCTGCAGAACACCGTCACCACGGGCATCGTCAGCACCACCCAGCGCGGCGGGAAGGAACTGGGCCTCCGCAACTCCGACATGGACTACATCCAGACGGACGCCATCATCAACGTGAGTTGCCCGATCCCCCTTAGCGCACTCCCAAGCAGCCTAGCCTCACAGTTCAACTGTAGCTCAACAGGTAGAGCATTGTGCCAAGAATGCAAAGGTTGTTTGTAGGTTTGAATCCCGGGGAGCATATAGATCGTGATCCTCCTACCGTAGGTCACTTTTTTAAACTCTCTTTTCCTCTTGCAGTACGGAAATTCTGGAGGCCCGTTGGTTAACCTGGTAAGGATTTTAGTTGCTGTCTTTTAAATACAAGTTAGCTGGAGCTTTAATTATTTACATACCAGTAGAAAAACTGCAGGAAGCTGGTCATTAGTCAGCATTTTGCAGGAAAGCACAGAAAGTCAGAGACATTTATTGGGAGTAACATTAAACCAGCTCCTGTGGGCAGAATGCATTATCATTGCATTATTCATCGGTATCCACTTTCATATTAAATATCATTCTGCCATGGGGATAGAGATGACTCAGCACAACTGCATGAAAATAAGATCCGTTGTAAATGCCCCTTGGCATGGATGGTGCTGCAGTCAGCCAGAATGAAATGGACAAATGAAAGGAAATGGAGGCGTGGTATATGGGTGAACTCAATGCTGCCCCCTACAGGACGGGGAAGTGATCGGAATCAACACCCTGAAAGTGACCGCGGGCATCTCCTTCGCCATCCCCTCCGACAAGATCCGTCAGTTTCTGGCAGAGTCACATGACCGGCAGGCCAAAGGTAACCCCCCCCCCCCCACCTCGGCACCAAACGCAGTATAAACCGCCTTGGGCGAGACACGTTCAAACCCCGCTAACGCTACCACCGGGCGTGTCCGAGGCTGCTCAGGTGCTGACGTCGTGTCTCTCCATGCTCAGGCAAAACGGCGCCCAAGAAAAAGTACATCGGCATCCGGATGATGACTCTAACTCCGACGTAAGTCCCAGCCACGCCTAAAGCTCACACTCGATCAAAGCGCCATGACTTGCGTTTACCTTGCCATAATAATTACACTTTCTGTCCCCCCCCCCCGCCTGCCTCAAGGCTCGCTAAAGAGCTGAAGGAGCGACAGAAAGACTTCCCAGACGTCACCTCCGGGGCGTATGTCATTGAGGTCATCTCGAAAACACCGGCTGAAGTGTAAGTCAATGAAATCGGAGGGGGTGGGGGGTGTCACACGGCCCACACAGGGCGTAGCTGAATGCTAAAGCTAAGTGTCGAGTCAGCTCACCTCGCTTCCTTTAGTGGAAGCCAACACTGGCTCCTTTTGAGCGTGTGCGCTGAGGAAGTTTGTCCCTGTTGGCTTGCTGTACCCATCTGTGTCGATGTGGAGAGAGACACCAACCAATTGGAGAGCATAGAGTCACTTCCGAGTTCTGCCCTCAGAGTGTTTTGTGGATATTAACACACTATTATGCCCTTATAAAAAGCTTTCCAGGCGCGCACATTTCCATTTTCCAGCCACAAGAAAAACCCCGGTACCGTCTGGGGGGTGTTACCCCAGGACCACGTCCTGTTACTGGAGATGACTGTGGCTTTGCTGATGGCTGCATTATGCGCCAAGGCTGCAGTTTCTATCGCTGCAGCAATAACAAGAAACCGTGACCCCAACACCAGCACTTACTAACCTCTTCCGGGAAACATCTGCAGGACTTTTCTGAGGTCATCCAGGGCGTGTGTCGGACCTTCGGCGTAGGTCAGAGCAGCGGGCTTGGGCTCTGCTTCCCCTCTCTCTCAGTGCTGCGTTTCATCATTTGTTCCGGCACAGAGAACCGCATCTAAGTCCCCAGCTCTGAGGCCCTCAGCTCTGTTCCCAGACGGCCACAGTGTCTGTACAGTTTTTGTTCCACCAAGAAAACGACTCTTTGCACGGCCTAATGTGAGCCCTCAGTGATTTGCCGAGAGACAATAATCCAGTGAACTGCAGCTGAGAGAGTAGACCGCTCTATTAAAGCAGGAGGTCGGTGTCAGTTGTGTGTTAAGAGTTTCTGCCAGCAGGTGGCAGAGCAGTTAAGGACATCAACCACTTTCCCAAACTCCAGAATAATGTCCAGCTGTGTAATAGAGTTAAAACTGTGTTTGCTTTGTATGAAAGCTAATCTCCTAATGTCCTAATCTCCTAATAATGTAGGCAAACTGTGCCCCTTCCCCAATTCATTCCTTGTCCCAGAGGGGGCCTGAAGGAGAGTGATGTCATCATCAGCATCAACGGGCAGCGCATCACCTCTGCCAGTGACGTCAGCAGCGCCATCAAGCGCGACGACAGCCTGCGGCTGGTTGTGCGGCGTGGGAATGAGGACGTCATTGTCACCGTCGTCCCCGAAGAGATCGACCCTTGACCAGCGCCGTGCAGCCGCCGGCTCCCCAGTCCATGGACCTCTCCGCGCCGGCACCAAGCCGCCGCTCTTAGAACCCGCAACCCGTAGTGTCGCTCTTAGCGGGCGGACGGAAAACTTTGTCTGCTCCGGGAGCTGTTCCGTGCACGAAGATTTGCAGCCGCGTTTTAGTCTCACTTCGCTAACCGTGCGTTTTACCTTACTTATGTACGCTTCGAAAGACATTACCACTGTCCGTGTACCTGCACTCGGTTGACCAGCGTGTCTTTACGGAAGAGCATCGGGGCCACCTAAAAGGGAACAAATTATAAAACTTTGAGATTTATGTAAAAAATTATGAGACAGGTCAAATTTTGAGGTTAAAGTCGAAATAAACTTTCGAGAAAAAGGTCGAAAATATTAAGAATAAAGTAGAAAATTCTGAGATTAAACCTGAATTATATGGATAGCTCGTCCTAGTAAAAATGAGTCTTTATTCCATGCGGAATGTGCCAGGAAGGCCGAATGTGTGGCATCTGGTGTCATCGTGTAAGACGATCGATTCGCCCTCTACAGATATCTCACAGTCGCTGACAGGTGACTTTTTTTCTTCTCGAAAGTTTGGAACTATTTGGACTTGAATCAAACTTTTGACTTTAATCTCAAAATTTTAGATTTCAGTCTCAAAATATTTTATAATTTGTGCTATTAGGTGGCCCTATACTCTTCCATATGTCTTAATCCTTTGTGTTTCTACGTCAGTTTTTATATATTGTACCTAATCACTCAGAGAACCCCGGCACGGGACACTTGAGAGAAGAGTTGGAATTGCAGGATACTGTAGATTTTTTTTTAATTTGATTTAGTGTTGTTTCGTTTTCTTTCTGATGACACCTAGGAGAAAAGGGAATAAACGTTTTTCCATAGTCTTTTTCCGAAGCTATTTGAATATCTTGAATAATTTGGACTAAACGTTGTTTTGCAAACATAAAAGCACACGCACTCGCATGCTTCTGTTTTCAGTGTCAGACTTAAACTACACTAATCGGCGCTTGTAGCAAGTTTACTGCTCGTTCTAGATCTTGCTGAGCTGGACAGGCTGTCCTCAGAGCATAGCTGAATCTTGGCTTTCTGGGCGAAAAATGCTTCCAGGTCTCCTGAACCGAGAGAGACTCAGGTCCAGCACAAATACCGGCACGCAGAGACGCGCGTAAATCACACTCTCGGTGTGTCATTCTCTGGCGCGCCTCCGCAGGTCAGGGTTACTGGGGCGCTGCGTCGGCCCGATGGTGAAAATGAGTGCGTGAGGACACTGATTTTTCTTCAGAGATGAAAGCTGACTGGGAGTGCACCCTGGAACTTGGAGCGATTTATTTGGGCAAGTTCTGCTGTTCACTCGGGACTTGGAAAATCAGATCTGCTCTGTATTCTTTTCACAGAAGCCTATGTTTCGACCCAATCCAGCAAACATGTATTCTTGCATATGAGTTAGTTTATCGTCGCTTTACCTTTCTGTTAAGGTAATCAAGTTTTAAACCGTGTAGGTCTGTGTACTCACAAATGTCGAATTTGGTCTGTAGACAATATTAACTGCGCTGTCAAAAAAAAAAATCCTGGATTATGCTTCCCTCTAGTGGTGTTTCCGTGGCAGTGCAATATCGTAGGCCATGTAACAATCTGGGCATTATTAAACAACAAACTGGTGTGTACAATAAATCTCTGTAAAGTAAGTCAAGTTGCTGCACGTTCTTAGTGCAAATAAACCATTGTACAACGTGTACAGGGTTAACGTGTTTGGCCGTTCCGGCTTCCTCTGCAACGTTTTAACGAGCGCTGCAGTTTTTCTTTACCGAGCGGAACACTCTGGATATTGAATTATTGAAGTCAGAGGATGGATCATATAGGCCAGTAAATTTCCAGGGAAGGGGTTCCGATCGGGCTGATGTGACCTGGTGCACCGCGCATTTGGACGCCGTGAGAACCTGACATCCAGCTTCCCTAAAACTTTTTCAAAATCCGCGGCGGTGTCCTGAGTTAAAATAAAATCGTAAATACTTGAAAGGGGCTCCTGCCCCCCAGAATTACATTTAAGGGCTTTGCAGGACACACGTTGCACATGCTCAACATATTTTAAGTGGTTAGGTTTAAAAATTGTGCTTACATCCATCACCCGTAACCCTCATCCCCATCTGTTACAGGCCAAAACTCGCAAGTTAAGAGTCCGTCGCGATTCACTCTCATCGTCAGTTATACCCGAATCACTTCATTTTAGTGGGATTTATGTAGGGACAGACTAGCGTGTATTTAAAGACTGGAAAATTCCCCAGTACGTGAACGACAAAGGGATTGGGCTCAAAACCCATTCAGCCTTATGGGATCCCCGTTGAGACTGACTTTTTTTTATCCCTTAGGATAAAACAAGCGCTGCTCTATTCTGAGGACCGTTTAATTTTAATAAGGTAATGAACGCCCGCAACTTGCACAGGACAAACGGATATATAAATGGATGGTTTTTGCATCTTAAGTAATATAATCAACCGACCTGCAGTTTTTAGCCCTATACGTAAGTCAGTTAAATGTTCATATAATACACAGCAGATTTAGGAAGAGGATTTCAAGCTTCGTCATGTTAAGATGATTTTTTTTTTTTTTTTTGTAAAAAAGTGGGTCAGTTTCTGAACTTTCCAGAACACTCTCCCGGTGCCTTTTTGCTCCTTATTCGTTTTTTCCTTATTCGTTTTTTTTTTTTGGACGTGAAGCCTGGATGGTTCTGGACCGTTGCGCATTTTCTCCGAGAGGCTTTGTCATAACCTGGCCGAGTCCGTTCCAGCAGGATTTCTCGTAACCAGCGCCAGTCGGAGCTCCTTTCCTCAGCTCCGGGCCTCGCAAAAACGTCTCGCTGGCGCTCAGCTCAGGAAAAGTCCCGTGACAGAATAGAGGGTGGGACACTGCCAGTCGCTGAAAGGCGCCAGGTGAGTCAGTTGGTCAGATATGGAGGGAACTGAGATTAATGTAAATGGCAGAGGAGCAGGACAGGGTGCACAACTCAGATCATACAGACTAAAAACCATTAATCTTCACGGTCAAGGTCTGTGACAGAACACGTCAACCTGGGCCGCCCATCCATCCCAAGTTTCTTGCCCCCTGAGACCCGCAGTCCCAACAGGAAACCAGTAGGACTTCGGCCGCTAACTGGATGGACAGTGGATGATCAAGGATGAGGTGAGGCAGATGAGGTGAGGCGGATGAGGTGAGGCAGAAGGCAAACTCATTTGCTGAGGGAGTGGAGAACTGGGCCGAGAAGCATGAGAACCTAAAATGGGCCGGGCCACAAAATGCAAGATACACACACAAAGAAAAAATAATCTCCTAAAGACAGGACACCAGCCCCACATCAAACTACATTCTCAGGAAAAAAGTCTTTAGCCCTGGTAGTTTTGTACTCCAAAATACAAACAACTTGAATGAGCTCGCAATGGTATAAAAATGTTCCTAGGAGTCCATTTCTATACCTTAAAAGGTACATTTACCTACAGCTAGGGTACAATTGGACAACTGGCAGACCCTTGACCAGTCAACAAGGCCCATGAACTGGAAGCCATCTACATCTCCAAGCTGGTACCAGCTGGCTACAGTCAGGCACAGAGCAAACGGGACTGCACACGCAGAAGAGGAAGACAGAACGGCAGTGAGCCCCATAAACCAAGCCGCAGAACGGCAAGCAGCTGAACTCCTTGTTTTAAGAGCAATGATGGCGACCAAGCAGTGAACGCTGCTCTGTTTAAATAGCGTTGGGCTCTAATTGAACCCAGGCCTCGAGAGAAACCCAACAGGAACCCCCTGGATATGCCTGGCTGAGCAAAAGCAGACTCTGGTCCCGATCCAGGAGGTTCTGCTACAAATCAGGTGCTTAGTGGGAACATATCGCGTAAAGGGAGGGTCCACTTAAAACCAACACAATTACAAACCTTCAAAAGAAAAATATGGCTTCCTTGTGCCCTTGTGTTAGTCCACAATTACATAGCTTAGCAACCAGCTAAAACCCCTCCCAGGCCTGCAGCCCTGAGCTAGGTGCCAAACTGACCTTACTGCGCCTGCTGAGGTGATGAGCCTCCTTCGGGTGTCCCAGCCTTACCGAGCCTCCTTCGGGTGTCCCAGCCTTACCGCGCCTGCTGAGGTGATGAGCCTCCTTCGGGTGTCCCAGTCCGAACCCACCATCATGTGGTCTAATAATTACTGTGTATCTTATATTTAGATCTTATAATAATGAATTACCATATAAAATAAGGTTTTTCAGTACATCATTTATTAATTTCCATAAACCATTTATTCATTCAGATCACCACATGGTAACACAGCTATCCACAATCTTTGGATTATTACATCCTTGTGTTTTTTATGTCTACATTATGCATGGATACGGCAGCACTGTTGCCTCACACCTCTGGGACCAGGGTTCGAGTCTCAGTCTAGGTTCCACACATGTGGAGTTTGCAGATCCCCCCCCAGTCCAAAAACTTGCTGAGGTTAATTGAGTGACCAAATTGCTGAAAGGTGTGACTGTGCCCTGTGATGGGTCGGCACCCCATCCTGGGATGTTCTCTGCCCTACGCCTGTAGCCTCTGGGATAGGCTCCGGCCCCCCCACAATCCTTAATGGAATGAGCAGTTACAGAAAATGGATGGATGGATGGATGAACATCATGCATGGACAATGCATTAAATCTAGTTTTTTTCCACTTTCTTTTCAATCTATTTTCCAGTGCTACAGATCTCCACTAAAATTTTGTCCATGACTATAAAATTAACATAAAAATGTTAAGTTTGACAGCCCTGCATGCAAATTTTTTTACTAGCCAGCAGACTAGCGTTCAGTTTTTCTGTACTCACCCATTGTCTAAATCTCTCACCTCCGGTGAGTGGACAAGCTTAATTTCCAGCCCGGTTTATACTTAAGCTACTTGAGATCACGTGTCCCTGATCACTTACCGTAAAACACAGAATTAGGGACTGTGTGGTTGTTATGTGACTGTTCCATACTTGTGCTCTCCTGTCTCCTGACTGAGGCTTGTGGGTCCGTTTTGTGTTCTGCCACTTCTACAGTGCAAAGACGACAAGAGAGGTGGCCATTCGACATTCAGCTGTTTAATGATTCATGTTTATCCGCGTATGTTCTTACACTGACTCAAATGTGCCACGTTTTTTAGCTTCACGGGATGTCAGCAGTAAGGACGTGTTTGGAAAGGACAGCATCAGAGTGTAAGGTGAGATGGTTTACAGACACAGCTGCATATAAAAACCACTGCACCTCTTTAACCACTGCAGTAGTGTGTAATCTCACCTGAAGTTTGGTGAAAGAAATGGAAAAACATTCAGGTTTTAGCTTTTTTTGGGGGTTGTCTGCCTCTGGAAGTAGTGCATTAATTCAAACCATACCATAAGCTGACAGAGGTCCATGTAATACTGAAACAGCACAATAATCGATACGGATGAAGATAACCTTTACGCCCAGCAGCCACTTAACCAGATTTTTCAGTAAAAAAAAAAAAAAAACATTTAACTTGCATAGTATATTACAGTATCATACATTTATGTTGCAGTGCTGCTGGTGACATAACCAACCACAAAGTTCCTTCTTAACTGTCCAATCACACGACTGCACAGAAGCAGCCGTTTCCGAGCAGCTGACTGGCTGTTCCAAGTGTCACTCACAGCCCCTTAGGTGTCGGGCTGGGGTCACGACCCGCCGTTTAGCAGGCCTGCGCTGCAGTGGCAGCCAGCAGAGGTAATGTCCTCGGTGCCACGGGGCAGGAGTGCTGTGTGCAGACCGGCCAGCAGGGTGCGCTCCAGGCCGTGCTGCAGGGAGTCCAGCCGCTGGTCGATGTGCTGGGTGAGCCTTCTCTCCATTTCCTGCAGCCGCTGTTCCAAAGCCTGCTCCAGGCTCCTGCAGCACGAGTGCTCCTGTCTTTCAGGGGGATACGGAGACATTATCCTTCTAGTTTTACGGAAGTGCCAAAAGACGACAAAAATAGCATTAAAGACAGCAATGTTCACCCCTAAAACACTCCGCTCCTCCTACATGTTTCCCAGGGTATCCTTATAGGCTGTTTTCATACTGCCGTGGCAGCGAATTAACCGTGTCCTAGGTCAGTGTTTCCCCAACCCAGTCCTTGGGGACCCCCAGACAGTCCACATTTTTGCTCCCTCCCAGCTCCCAGCCAATCAAGAGCACAGAATACCTGGCACGGGCGTGACGGGAGCTGGGAGAAAACAAAAATGTGGACTGTCTGGGGCTCCCTGAAGACAAGCAATAGTAATTCATAACAGGTTTCTACATACCGTGGGCCTGGTGATGGACAACACTTCTGGGCGTCGTCCTCAATGTGGAGTCCGCCCACCTGCCCACAAACTGCCCGCACGGCCGAGAGCAGGTCGGGGTTCTGCCCCGGGTGACCGCTCAGCAGGGATGACACTGCCCTGGCCAGCTCGGGGCCCTCGATGTTTCCGTTGGGGAGCCCGGGCCGTCCGCTGGATCGTGGCTGATCGTCCTGTAACACGCCCCCTTCAGCAGGCCCCGGGATGCCCGTGTGTCTCACTGTACCTCCCCCGCCTTCAGGCTCGGGGGCTCCTTTGACCACAGAGGCCAGGGATCCCCCACCCATGAGCAGGGGCACAAACCCACCCAGGACATCCATCTTACTCTAGAGGAGTGATGCAGATAAAACCCAAGTGAGTGAGAAGTACAGTAAATAAAGCAGTGTGAGTAAATGAGTATAGTAAAGTATAGGAAACAGTATAGTCAATATGAGTAAGTATAGTGAATAGTGCAGTACATGTAAGCATAGTAAACAATGCAGAAAGTGTAAGTATACCAAACAGTATATTAAATGTGAGTACATAGTGATCAGTGCAGTAATTGTGACCGAGAAGTATAGTAAGTGCAGTAAATGTGTGAGGTGTACTACGTAGAGTATTTTACATACTCAATAGAGCAGAGTTAACTAACCCTGACTGGGTTATGCAGGCTAGACTTTTTAGTGAAAGGGTGGTTCCTGTCTATGCTTTTGACAAAAGGGTGGGAGCCGGTTAGGCATGTAGCATAAATTACCAAGACAATATACTCCATTTAAAAGTAAGATACGATTCACAGTAGCAAAACCCGTAAGTAAGCCTCAAAAGATCGCGCCGAGCCAGTAAACCCGCTTCTTAGTACACTGAGAAGTATAGCAAACTATACAGTAAATATAGCAGAGTTCCTGAAGTACCAAACAGAAAAATAACTTTTAATGCGACTTGCAAAATTCGATAAACACCACAAAAACAGCACCAACAGAAAACAGGTGAGCAAATATTTACTTAAACACTTAAGAGAAACTGCAACATGTACTTGCTGGCTAGAATGATCAGCATATCCTGTTTTGACTGCTTCTGCATCAAAATTTACTGACAGTGAGAAAAGACTGAGGCAGCATTGGGTTGAGTTGCTCACTTTTCCTGTCCCAGTGTAAAAAAAAAAAAATCTGTGGATGTTTTTGTTGACTTAAGTCGCTGCTATTTACCTGCTGCTGGAACTGCACCAGATGCATCAGGCTCTGAGCCCCGGGGGAGAGGGCAGTGCCCATGGAGCCGACCATGGCCCGCACGCGACGCAGGTCGATGCCCGGCCCCGGGGCCGGCGGGGAGCCTTCCTGCGTGTCGGCTGTCTTCAGGCCCAGCACGACTCGGCTGACCCCCACCCTTGTTCGCCCACCCAGAGACAGCAGCTGTAAAAACAGGGAGGGTTGCGGCAACAGCTGGCGAGACCGCAGTACACCTCCTCATTCCGGGAGTCATAGCGACTGTAAACAAAACAGCTGGCTGTGACCTTGGGGTGTACTGCCGCGCTGATGTAGGTACATACCAATTCAAAATGACAGAGTACTTAATTAATTACTACAAAGGATCTTAATGGATTATCCCCAATTGTGATTACTATACTCATATACAGTGTTGGAGACGTTACTCACAAAAGTATTCCATTACAGACAGAGGTGGAAAGTTCAGGTCCAGAAAGTACAAATCCAGACCTCAGGGGACATCCAGGAGAAGTACACACATACAGCCCAGTGCAGGTACACTATGAAGTACACTAAAAAGCAAGCTTTACAAACCCAGAGTAAACTCGATCGGAGCAGGTTAGTAAGCTATGATTGATATCATGCAAAACTCTGACGTAAGCCTTGAGAGACTCACGCCTTAGCGCCCCCCTCTGGTCAGAAGTGCACCTGCAATTCCTGGGTTTTGAAGCCAGAGAATCACCAGGGGCTTCTATATTATACAAACATACACATAATACTGTACGACGACAGACATGGATGTTAGAGGAAATTCTGGAAGTACAGCCTATGTCTGCCCATTTTAATTTACGTTCTCACCTTCACTTCACACGACGGCGATGGATACTCTAATATTAGGTGTTTCTTATAGAGGGGGGTTCTTTCTTCAGCACTGGAACACAAAGAGACCCAGGGAATTACTAAATCCAAAAATACTAAATAAACAGTTTGTAACTGGATCACTTTTTGCAGTGGTAAAACTATCTGCCACTAATGTCAGAACAAACAAAAAATCCAAGCAAAAAAATTAAGTCAACAGGGTCACATTTTAGTCATTTCTCCACAAAACTACTGGAATCATATTTTGTCAACATCTCTGTAAAAATCTGCTTTTACTTAGGGCTGCAAAATTCTGGGAATTTTCCAAGTTGGAATTAATTATGAATTAACAGGAATAAACTGGAAATTTGTAAAATTGCAGGTTAGCCTATAACAGGGAACTTAAATGTAGTTGAGAAAACAAAAACATCTCGACGGAAAATAGTGACATCATTGTGTAAACAAGTGCTTGTGAGTATTTTTGTGTGTAAAAACACCCCAAAATAAGCACCTGCATCAAAACACACTGCCTATAAGTGATATTCTATATTGTATTATTCATAGTTTGCTTTCTTTGCCGCATCTGACAGCTCAGGTAGGAGTTCCATGGAATTCAATATTTCCCAAATTCCCCAGCTTAACTTCCCGTGGAAAGTTTCTGGAAATTTATTGGAAACTGTCCACCCCTTTGCAACCTTAGCTTTACTAGCCAGAAATCAGAGCATTTTGGGTCAAATACCATTGAACGGGTTAAACAGTGAGGCCTTTGACCACAGAGACATTAATGAAGGTCGTACCTGCCGAGGTACAAACCGGGATCTGGTTCTCCACGGCACGTACCGCAGTACTCCCCCGTCCCAGAGTACACTTCCATAGTCCGGGCTTCGCTAATCACCAGTAGACTGGTTATAATGTCTCTGCATTCCGGGGGGCATCGCAAACTGAGTAAACACGGCGTCGATCCCTCTTCCTGTACCAAGTAAACTGGACCTTTCCTGTACAAAGATATGCACACACGTCAGCGGACAAACCTTCATGGTCTACGTTCAGCTTAATATAAATAACAGAATAGTACATTTACATATTGTACTGCACTGCTGATAGATTCTCGTGACCCAAGACGTTCACTCACTAGTTCACTAGTGATGTGACAATTAATGTGATTTCATTTGCTCTGAAATCCAAAGCAGGCGAAATTATCCTACACCGTCAGTCACTGAGTGGCTTAATCAGAACCGTGCTGGGAAAGCAAACAATAAAATTAGTAAGAAAATAACTAGCCAGGTTTAAAGAACACATGACAGCTCAAGTTATTGTGCGTACCGGATCAGGAGCAGGAAAGAAACTCGGGAACATCATGGCCAGGACTGAGAGGCTTAGGAGGAGTTTCTAGTCCCAGACCACAAGGTTTCTGAACCTGGACGTGCCATTGCACCTCAAACCCTGGTGGACATTGTGCTCTTGCACCCCTCACCATATCCGTACTGTTACACTGCTCACTTTTTATGTCTGTGTTACCGTTCATTTTTAACATACTTCTCTGCTTGCATTTTAGCTTTTTGCACTTTAACTTTAGCATAATTGGATTTTTAACTTGCACAGTCTACAAAAGAGCGGTCCAGGAAGCATTTCACTACGTGTTGTACTTTGTATAGCTATGTATGTGACAATTAAAGAATCTTGAATCTTTATATATCTCACCAATGACAAGCAAACATTCATCCTCTACATTTAGTTCCAGAATGAAGCAAATAAAATGAGAGAGAGCAGTGACTTACTCGACTGAGGTCTCGGAGTACAGCTGTGTGAGCTCCACGGTGCCGCTCTCACGGACCGGCTGTATAACATCGGAGAGCTGAGTCCCGGCAGATCCATAAGCCCAGGACGGCTGCCCGGAGACTAGGGCATCGCTTCGTGACATCTGGCATTCATTGGCCATAATTTATTCTAGATTCTCATATATGTCAATATCAACGATAAGCGACAGTTTCGGTCGCTAGTGACAGCGCTAAAAACTATAAATAAATTATAATTAACGGAAAGACAAAACGGCCCAGTATGTTACCCATACACCAAATGCGACTCCAGTTATTACTGCGCTGCAAAGTACTTATCTAACCGTTTAAGAGGATATATCATGATGAAAACGTTACTTCACCTATCCCTGATTTCTAAAATCGCTTAAGAAACAACCATTAATTCACATACAATAAAAACGACGCGGCAACTGCCGGACATGGCGAAAATATGACATTGGCTCTGAGGACCCATAGCAGTATGCCCTTAACTCGCCTGCACAAAAAAGACCATTGACACAAATATTAAAAGTGAGTAACTTCAAATTCCTAACTATTATCTGAATAAAAGATATGTCAAGAAATATTGTATTGTGGATTTGGCAATAATAGTATAGATATTTACTGGTACAGTCGGCTGTACACGAGTTTCTAAACATCAGGCTCTTCAACGACACCTACCAGATGAAAAAATGACAGAATTGCGCTGTTTTCATCTGTGTATAGTTTACGGAGAGGTCAAAGGGCGGTATATTTAAATGCTGTGATACGGAAATTTTTCCGACGAACGTTTTTATGACTGAAAAATCTAAACAGGAGGGCATTTTTTTCTGCGGGCTGGCGATACCTAGCCATAGAATTTAATCAGTGTGTACAAATGACCAGAATAAAAGCATCATGTTTTTGGCATACTATGAGAAGACCCGTTGTTTAGAAAGTACTGTAATGCTTGGAAAAGTTGAAGGAAAAAGAGGAAGCGGACGATCAGCAACAAGATGGATGGATCGACTCATTACAACGATGAGCATGTCACTTGGAAGCCTGTACTCTATTATCAGCCAGTGAACAGGAAATTATGATGTCGTCTGTTTCGTTCCAGGAGTCGACGTGACTTGACGTCACCTAAAAAATAATAATAAAAAAATAAATGTGCAATGTGTATGAATCCTGTGAAAATATTCAATAATGCAGGCGGAGTTTAGATGTGACTGGTGCCAATTAACATGCATTCTTTTCCACTTTAAATCTATCAGGCCTATCTATCTAAGGTTGTCACAACCGTTAATCCCCAGTAGAACCTGACCGCTTGCCTTTCCTTACAATCCCCCCTCCGTGTGCGCTGAATCCAAATCACCCACCAGGTGGTGATGACTTAACGGCGCGATTTGACTTGACTAGGCAGTGTGTTTCCACCACGGTGGGCAGTAGAATAGGAGACACCCTATGAACTAACTAGAGATGGCACCCAGGATCGATCCGTTCCGAAGTCGTCCGAAACTTCTGGTCTCAATACGGAGTTTACGAAATGTTTCGAAACAGTCACGTGACCGCCGTGTCATTGTTCACGGCGAGAGAAAAAACCCCGGAAAAAAATCGGTGCGTATTGGGTGTTTGTGGCGTTGTTGGTTTGAGTGAGTTGTTTGGCGATTATTATTATTTGAAATTCAATTGTATTAGTGAAACAGGTTAGCAGTTAGTTTGATTTAGGCATAAGTATAGAGAGGGACATATAGTTATAGTAGGTGTAATATCAAGGTTTTGCTTAGATTCAGTTAAAAACATAAATCAAAAAGCTAGAGTACGCATAGACACAAATTACATATACATATATTAACATTGCTAACACAAAGACTGTTGTCCGAAACTGCGTTTTTGCACTGTTCTATACAAATTAATTAAAACTCCTATAACCTGCTCAAGACACACAAACCTGGATAGGATAGTATTCTGACCTCAGTAGCTAATTAATTACTATGCACACTCAATACTCGGATGGTATGTAAATACAGAAATTATGTTTTAACAATACACAACCATGGGAACAAATAATCTCTAAATGATATAAGAACCAGTTTAGGTTTTGATTGACTGGGGGAAATTCTGCGGCATATAAACATGCAAATAATGCAGATAGTGTCAAAAAGACAAGGTACAGAGACTGTTCACATGGTGCGAGCAAAGTAAACATACTGCAACAGATTTAAAAAGTACATAGTACACAAATGGATGTAAAATCTTGAGAAGCTGAATGTGACAGTAACGTGAATATTTAAAGATGAGAATAATAATCATCTGTAAATAAATTATGTGCAGTTAGAACACAAGGCACCGGATTGTATTATAACAAAAGAGGATGCTTCCTGACGTATTATGGCTATGGATGGGGAGTGTAACGCCTGGAGAAAGTGTGATGTCGGTCACCAGTTGTCTGCAGGCTGTGCACAACTAGTGTTTCGAAACTTTTCGAACCGTTTCGAAACATTGTTTGTTTCGAATGTTTCGAAATTGTTTTGATGATCCGAAATTGCCATCTCTGCTAAATACTACTGAATACCTTTTTCCCTCATGCAGTCATTCAGGCTCCGTCCTTAATGACCCATGTTACAAAAGTCAATTTCTAATCCAGATAGGTCATATATGTCCTTTCCAGCTTGCTGGAAAGGTGTTGGCTGATCGTGGGCAATATTATGGTAATACCGTATACCGCCCCTCCCGCTCTGCCAATTTAATCGGGATATACGTGAATAGACCGCCTTGCTTTTAAAAATGCCGTCAACACATGCTGCTGTAAAATGTCTGGACGGTATTATAAAATAGATAACGCCCAAGTCTATAGAGTGGAGAGACGAGGTGTTGAGGTGCTGCCGGGGCTAGAGGGTGGCGGTAAAATTTGCTGACGGTGGGGTGGGGGTCGGAGCGGGGTGCGGCAATATCTTTTTTTTCGTTTTTAAAAGGCGGTTTTATAAGAAACTTTATTAATAACATAGAAAAACAATATGTTGACGTATATGTACTCTCAGTTGTAAAAGCTGTGGTTAATGCACGCAATATATGATGGATAGTGATGACAGCCAATAAGATGTGCTGGGATTGACACGTGATGTACGTGTGTATGCGTCAATAATTGTTTTTGCAGGTTCCAGTCTGAACAGAACTGAGATGTCACACTGTTCATTCTTCTGTAATTAATTTCAGTCTCGCATTGGGCACACAGAACCGCTGACCAGCTCATCTCTGCCAACACAATACAGTAACAAATTCTAGTGTGTTCAAGTAAGGTTTCCCGTCCAAAATAAAATCACACCTAAGAAGGATATTTATGATTTATCCATAGGGTAAAATTAAACACCAGTTAATTATAGGAAATAGTAACAACATAAATATTACTAAAATAAAATTGAAATGTTGGAACAACAAAATAAATGAAAATTCAAGCAGAGAAAATTAAACAATATATAATTGTTGTGGTTTTTCCTTCCCCACCAATTCAGGAGTGAGAAGTCGCTTGTGTTGAGCTTCCGATTCAGTCTTCATTGCAACATGCGTAGTTACACTGATTTTTATACACTTATCAAGATATTTATCATAGCGATTTTCCAAGTATCATCTCTCTGGACCAATTGCTGTCATTGTTCCAGGGCTCAGAGTCCTGGCAACTGTGAGATAAGGATGACAGTTATTTAATTATCTGTCTGGAAAACATGACCAGGGCAATATTGTTATTTTGTATAGTTTTGGTGAAGAACCCAGAACTACAGAAGGAAAGAAAACTTTCCAGGTTTCACTGATTAAGAAATAACAAGTTTTGGTGGTTTCAGTTGGTCCTGAGATGCTTCGCCACAGAACGGAATATTCTGGGCCTTCAAAACACTGATAAGCTGAGCTAATTAAAGTACATATTCATACACCAAAGGCTAACATAAGATCGATAACAGATACAGAAGCTTCTTAGCCAACACAAGGTGCTTATTCATACTTATTTTTAGTCACATCATGCACAGCAGTAATGGTCTGTATTCTCTGAAAGTTACAAGGTCACACTCTACACGGTTTACATTTGCTTCTGGTTGCATCTTCTTAATAGTATCCTAGTGATTACAGTCTCTATGTGTTATACAGTGCTACATAATATCCCATATAATAAAATGAACTAATAAATTTAATTCGGACAAAATTATGTACAGTTTCCTGGTATGGACACTTAAAAATGTAAATATATTTTTGTGGGGGGATTCAAAAAAGTGACATTTAAGTAGTCTATATAGTATTTTGCTATGATGATGATTTTTAACTAAAAATTCAATATGCTTGTTCTTTGGGGTACCTCATAACTGGATCGCTCTGAAAAAGAAGGATTCTATGCTTATGGTTTTGGAGCTCAGCCAATCGTGCAAGGGTTTCCGTGTCACAAGTATAAAACAAAGTATAGAACTTCATAGAATGGGTTTCCATGGCCGAGCAGCTGCATCCAAGCCTTACATAACCAAGTGCAGCGCAAAACGTCAGACGCAGTGGTGTAAAGCATTCCGCCACTGGATTCTAGAGCAGTGGAGACATGTTCTCTGGAGTGATGAATCACGCTTCTCTGTCTGACAGTCTGATGGACGAGTCTGGGTTTGGCAGATGCCAGGAGAACGGTACTTGCCTGACTGCATTGTGCCAAGTGTAAAGTTTGGTGGAGGTGGGGCAGAGTTATGGTGTGGGGTTGTTTTTCATAGTAAATGGACTGCATTTATATAGCGCCTTTCTACTCCTACAAGTACTCAAAGCGCTTTACAATTCATGTCTCACATTAACCCATTCATACACACATTCATACACCGGTGGCCTTAAAACACCTTTTCAGGGGTTGGGCTCGGCCCCTTAGTTCCAGTGAAAGGAACTCTTAATGCTGCAGCATTCAAAGCCATTTTGAACAATTTCATGCTCCCAGCTTTGTGGGAACAGTTTGGGGATGGCCCCTTCATGTTCCGACATGACTGCGTACCAGTGCACAAAGCAAGGACCATAAGGGCATGGATGAGCAAGTCTGGTGTGGAGGAACTTGACTGGCCTGCACAGAGCCCTGACCTCAACCCGATAGAACACCTTTGGGATGAATTAGAGCAGAGACTGAGAGCTAGGCCTTCTCATCCAACATCAGTGCCTGTCCTCACAAATACTCTCCTGGAAGAATGGTCAAAAAAATCCAATAAATACATTCCTAAACCTCATGGACAGCCCTTCCCAGAAGAGTAGAAGCTGTCATAGCTGCAAAGGGTGGCCCAACTCCATATTAAAGCCTATGTATTAAGAATGGGATGTCATTAAAGTTCATGTGTGTGTAAAGCATGGGCGTAATTTCTAGGCGGGTTAGGGGGGTCATGACCCCCCCAATAAACAGATCCAGTAAATATAACCCCCCCAATAATCATGTTTCCCCTGTAATGGGTGAAGACCTGGACCCCCCCAATATTCCAGCCAAAGTTACGCCCTTGGTGTAAAGGCAGGTGGTCCAATACTTTTGGCAGTATGGTGTATAATGGCACCATTGATCGGTGCCATTGTAACCAGATAGCCAGTATAATTAACTTAACCTGTCTGTGGTTTTAATGTTACAGCTGATCGGTGTATATACTTGCGGATTTAGGTTTGGGCGACTGGGGCAGGCTACCACTCAGAGGTGGGGAGGGGGGCAGGGCTGGGGTCTGCTCAGGGCACCCAACTGGAAGTGCAAGGTAAGGGGAGTGAAGGAAACTATCAAATAGCACACCGCTAACTTTGAACAGTACTAAGTAAAATTTGTTTAGAATGTTACCACAAATATATAGGCCTATTTATTTGTATCATAAGAAAAAATAATTGAGAGTTAGTGCTGAATGATGCTTTTCTTTGTTGGTGGGGGTGTATATGGTTTGTTGGATGGGGGTGTAGCTGAAGGGGAGTTTGCCCAGGGTGTCATACAAACTGGAACCACCACTGGCATCTTCTCGTTATAATTAGATACATATATTGCGTTATAGTGAGATAAACATCTCGTAATAACGGATACTTAATTACCTCGTTATAGTGAGATACTAAGCAATTGTTTATTATAGTGGCCGCGATACGCTTCCTTAATGACTTTCACTGGAGCAACCACAACAAAATAGGTAGGGTGAGTATTGTTAAAATGGGACACTTTTTGAAAATTTTCTTTCTGGAAAAATCATCTCAATGTCTTGAATCCCAGCTTGACACCATTCTAAATAAATGAACGCCCCTTGAACACTTATAGAAGAGAACATAAAATATTACTAAACATATATATTAACTGCAATTCTCACCCCATAACTCTTTTCATATAACCGAAACAAACTGGAATCTTGTCAGGTTTAAAATGCAGACTAGATAAACCGGTTCTTTACTAGTAGACACCTTGATCCCATCGATAGTCACTCACCCCACCTCCGGAATTACCTTTGAAAGGTTCCTGATTGTATACACACTTTCTTTGCCACGGAAGTTAGCGCACAAGCTCGCCATTGGAAATACATTAGCGATGGCAATAATGCAGGGGAAGAGTATCTTCGTACTTGTGCTAGTTTTTTGTTTTTTAAGGGGAATTGCAAGC